GGCATTCTTCTACCTCAGGGCTTCACTCAAGGACTCAGGCAGACAGTTTACATGCAGCGTCTCCCACCAGTCACTGAGAGTGCCCATCAAAAAGAGCTTCATCCTGAATGTGCAAGGTGAGTGCAGGGTGCTAGTTTCACAGCAGTACTTTGACTCACCACACGGGGGCGGCAGAGGAGCATCTCTGACATCTCACTTGTCCTGTCTGTTTTCTGCGCTCAGAGCCAACCAGCCTGACGTTCATCCTCATTGTCAGCGTGGTTGTGGTCACACTGTTCATCTTGCTTTTTGTGATGCTGAACTACCTGCACACAGGTGGGTGTGGAGATCCTGATATACATGGAATGATTAAAGGATGTGAGGACATGATGACGTACAGTACTGTTGGAGTGTGAGGAGTTAGTCCACGCTTTTATCTTAACAAGGAAAAGATTCATTACATTTTAATTAAACACACTAAATCATTAGGAATATATAAAAGGAGCTAAACAGAGATGTCACTCTCACTACTACAGTCACATCAGGTAGAAAGCAGGCAAAATACAGGCAATGCTAAATCATCAGTAACCACTGTTTTCATATCCTTTTAACACATCAACATTGATGCTCAAGAGAGTAACTCTTTATTATTTTCCCCACAGCAAGAAAGAAATCAGTGGAGGTAAGATGATTTGAAAACAAAGATTTTGCTCAGTTTATCTCAAACCAGTATGTAATCCGTTTGTCTGTGTGTGTGTGTGTGTGTGTTCTGAGCAGAAGAAACCATACTGAGCACCTCAGTGGCCAGAACAGAACAACAAAAGCACCAGCAGAGGGAGACTGGCTGCCTCAGAGCATCTCAGACATTTGATTTTTGTTTCAGAAAGTGAATTTGAATTTCTGTGAAACTCAATGTTTGCTTTGATTTTGTTCATGCTAAAAATCTGATGCTAAATTATATGGTTGGTGTCCTGGGAAAACAGAAATCCATTCATTACTAAACTAGACTTCATAAATTAGTTGTTTTCTAGTAGCTCATAATACAAAAGTCACATTGTTGAGTTTTTGGCCGCTACACTGTAAAACATGAAATTTTGTGGAAATCATCTTTTCCTGTTTAAATAAATGATAATAACAGGAAAATAATTGACTTGTTGTTATAATGACACTACCATATGGGCATCGGGTGAAAACCTACAGCAACTCTCTGGATGGGTTTCACAGGAACTTGAGAAGATAAAGAAATGGTGTGACAGTAATATGGTATGTCTGAATTTGGATAAAACTAAATTTATGGTATTTGGGAATCCCAGATTAGACAATGAATTTCAATTTAATATTTAGGGAGCTAGAATGGAATGAGTACTTAAAATTAACTTTCCAGGTGTCATAGTTAATGACAAATTCTCTTGGAAATTGAATATCAGATATTTTCAGAACAAAATAGCAAAAACACTAATATTGGTAAGGGTTAGATATATTTTGGATGGGAAAGCACTATGGATTTTGTATTCCTCATTGATTCTACCATACTCAGAGTATGGCGTTGAAAACTGGAGAAATACATACACAAGCTCACTTCAACCCTTGTATATATTACATAAAGGAGCCATACGAATTGT